AATCCCCGCTGCTTCGAACCCCGTGTAGCGCGGCTACACGGGGCTCGAACTAGGTAGTTCGGACTAGGGTCCTATTCCGACCTACCGGTACTCCTCGTGAAACGAGGTGTACCGGTAGTTCGGAATAGGCACCCTAGTCCGAACTACCTAGTTCGAGCCCCGTGTAGCCGCGCTACACGGGGTTCGAAGCAGCGGGGATTTAAAAATGGCGGCTCCCCGCTTATGCCAATGAAGCCCGGGAAATTCAAATCCCGGGCTTCATTAGCAAGTGCGGTATGCATACATTACCCTCCTAGTTCGAACTAGGAGGGTAGTGTAGACATACCCTGATACTACAGTAAGTAGGTCATCATTTTCTACATGGAGGGGGATGAGAGACTTTACCAGCAGATTTCATGGATATTTTTTGAGGAATTGTGATGCTCAGAAATCTGGGGATCCATTTCAGGCTCTAAAGAGGAGCCGTCTCTAGCAGACATAGCCTCTTCTGCCCCTCTCTACCAAATGTGATTTCTTTTGCCTCATCTCTTATGACAACGTCCCAACCCTCTCTCTTCCCATCCATGGGTTCTCATCCCAGTCACATTCACCTGACCTCACCAGTGCCAGTCTCCACTCATCAACTCTCTCGTCCAAGTCCCAGTCTCTGTCCTCCAGATTCTCAGTCCCAGCTTGTCCCCCATTATTCCCAGTTCCACCCAGCAGTTTCCCAATCTTCTTGGTTCCAATCTCCTTGCCCTGTTTCCTCCTAGCTGGCTCCTCATCCTCTCTCCCTCACCCTGACCTCCAGTTACTCCCCCTCCCTGATCTAATCTTGATGTCCACCCACACCTCCTTGTTCCAGTCTCCCAGTTTCCATTCTCCTATCTGACTCCGAATCCAGATTTCCTTAGCCATTCTCAGTCTTGTCCCCCCAACTCCCAGCCCCAGGTTTTCTTACCTCCACTACTTCTCTCATCTCCAGGATCTTTCCTAATACCTAGGAATCCAAGAGCAGCTAAAGGTTCTGCAGGACCCCTACAACCACAAACCTTGATAAACCTTATGTGGTGAGTATTGCCCCTCCAACTAGGGAACAGATATCCCCTCTATATTCTCCTACCAACATTTCTCCCAGTCTACTAATGTCATTTCTGTCCTATTCAGAATGAGCTTTAGCCAACTAGCAATCCTCCAAGCCACAATCTTGGCTAGACGCTAGGTCTGCAATGTCTGGGAGAGATGAAAAGGAGTCACAGAGCTGAATATTGTCAGCATCCTGATGCCGCTGCAACCCAAAACTCCCCTCCGTGCTAAACAAGAAGAATGATGGAAAAGATCCCCATGGCATGCTGCACTAGAGAAACCTTAGAGCAGATGAGCAACTGCCCAACACACGATTCATTGAGAAGGAAGAGAGCCACTGAAAAACAAACCCATCTAATGTTACCAGGGCCTGCAGACACATTAGCAATATACCCTGGGCTCTTCCCCCATCTGACGAACATTCATTACTATGGAAACAATATCAAGAGCCGAGCCTAGATGGAGCTCAGTGACACTGAAGATGTAGTTCTGTGACAAAGCCTCTCTTTCACTAAGTGTCATCAGGGAAAAAGCTCTGAACTCCGATGAAGACTCCAATTCTAAGATATAGAGTTTGGTGGTTATAAGCTGCACTTGGTTCTGGTCCCATGGAAAATCCTTCTAAAATAGGATGGGTGTGTGGGAATTTTTAAAGGCACAAAGAAGTGTTCAAACTTCCACTAAATATCAATGGAAGCCGGGTGCCTTCCTTGGAAAAATTCTCCCCTACATTTTTAAAATGTTTCCTTCTTCATGTCTAAGATAAGCAAAGACTTGACAGGAAATGCTATCAGACAGGACCTAAACCTAACCCTAAAAAATGCTCACTATGTACAGCTACAAATGAAGTTAGGAGAAGCAGAAAAGTATTACTGTAACAGGAATTGCAATACAGGAATTACAATTGGACCTCTTTGGTCTGGCACCCTCAGGACCTGACTGGTCCTGAATGAGGGAGGTTGCCGGACTGGGGAGGTCAATTTCATCCCTCTGCTGACAGGACTCCAGGCTCTCCCGGGGTCCATCAGCAGACTCAATGGAGGTCCCTGGCTCTCAGGCCACCAGCCCCAAGCTCAGCTGGCCTGACCCTGCCACTGCAGAGGGGACCATCAGGCTCCACTCACCCTAGGGCTGCCACAGCTCCAATGGCCAGGTACTGCTGAGACTCCACTATCCCAGAGCCACCGTGGCTGGGCTGCCGTGGCTGTCAAGCACTGATGCTGCCACAGCTCTGGAGTGTTGGGGCTGCTATGGCTCTGGGGCTGCTGGGGTCCCATTCCCCAGGCTGCTGGACTCCATATCCTGGGATTGCTGCGGCTTCCCAGCTCCGGTGCTGCCAGGGCCCAGGGCATCAGGACTGTCGCAGCAGCCATGGCTCCGCTCCCCAGAGCAGCCTGGGCTCCACTCTTTGGGGCCGCAGCTTTGCTACCCCGGGGCCCCCAGAGCTGCCGTGGATCCACTGCTCTGGAGCCACCAGGGCTCCGCTCCTTGGGGTTGCAATGGCTGCCGCGGCTCTGCTATCACAGGGCTGCTGCAGCCAACCCTGTGGCCACCCAGTCCTCTGGTCCAATAATATATGTGGTCCTGCCAGCCCACGGATGTTGCTGGACCAGAGAGTCCCAGACAAGAGAGGTTCCATCTGTAGTAGATCACATCCAGGGTCCAATATCCTGTCTCTTAACATAGCCAGATGCTTAGAGGGAAGCAGCAAAAAGTTCCACAGTAGGTAGATATGGGAGGCTGTGGGAGATATGGGATATCCCACATGAAGGCCTCATCCTAATCCCTAGTATTTACAGTTTGTGACAATATGATGTTTTATTTCCCTTCTGATACTATTTTTCAGCACTATTACCAAGGGAGTATAAACTGTGCAGTTTGTGTAGGCCAAACTCACTGCATGTATCAGGCATTCCTTGTATTCCTCCATCAGGCCCACAAGATCCATGTGTGACACCTCACATTCTTCTCTATCTCAGGGACCACCTGCAAATCCCACACCCAGTCCCTTACCCCAAGATTTCTTGTGCCCCTTCATCCCCCCCAATGCCAAAAGTACTGCATGCCCCCATTACTCCTCCACAAAATAAGGGTTATGTGTGTCCCCCATTGCTAAAGGACCACTAGGTGATCATTAATTTCCACTTTTACCAGGCCATGAAGCCTAAACAACATGTCATTTCTCTTGCTGCATTATTCTGCTTCATACTGTTATATATCAAGCACACAGTGTCGTGCCCCACACATGACTCTAGTAGAAATGTACAAAGAACAACAATTATTTTGTGTAAAAAAATTCATTTCATTTGATTACAGATCCAGAAACTGAATATGTGAAATTTCCACAACCACTTTCACATTAAAAGCATGTGAAATTCAAAAATGTTACCTCTTTTCCATGCAAAGTGGTTTTCAACTAAAAGAAACTCAAAATGTCATATTAAAAACAATGAGACGTGGGAAAAAAATGTAAAATGTAAAATTTCAAGACCGGACTGTTTTTGTAAATCAGAAATGAAATGCAAAGACTGATTTGCTGATGAAAAAATAACAGGGCTTTTTTGAGACAATAATGCATCCAAAATGCATAAACTACAACAACTTATAGTTAATACATGTTGAGGTAGACCGACTGTAAACAGATGGGGTTATGGTAGAAGGGTGTCATCTTGTCAGAAGCCAGCACCCATTTTTGAGTGCTGGTTAAACATGCTCGATTCACAATCCTAGAGGTGAAAATCCGATGTTTAGCCTCAGACTGGGTGCACCTTGGACAGCAGCAATGAAGGTCCCACCAGCATCACTCAACTCAGACCTTGTAAGACCCACCTCTTGGGACAAGATATTAGGTAATTTTCAGTTATCCTTTCACAGTCCTTGAACTTATTCCTGAGACTGCCCACAAGAATGCTGGGGTTGCTTTGGGTTTCACTAGAAACTGACCTGAGACCACCAAACTCATTTCACATAGACCATCAAACAACTATCAGATTCCTTTCTGTTATTTCTGAGAAGATTTTCCAGTAACCTATACAGTGTTCTCAGTGGCATGAATGTATAGTCAATGGACTAAAAAGTGAATTGATCCATCTGGAGATGCTGTACACAGTGCAAGAAGACTTCAAATCAAGGGCCTTTAATAAGGTGCATCAATGAAGGGTCAAAATAACAAATGCACCATCCAACGACTGCAAATACAGGCCCAGCTTTGACCAGTCTTGCATTGGTCCCTGGTGTGGGAGATAGAAAACTGCATTCCCCAGAGAAGCTCAGGGAAATCTAATGCCTTCTGTCTGCTCACTTTGTCACCCCTCATAAGGATGTAGGGTGCACTCCCCTCCACAATAGGGCTGCTCTCCTGGCCAATGTTGATGGGTGGAGGGGAGGCACCCTACTCTCCCATCTTCCTACTCCCTTTGGGGTAATTAGCATTCCAAGAGACACTAGCAGGGTCTGCCAGATGTCCCGGTGTTGCACCCACTCCCGCTGCCCAACAAACACACACAAACACAAACCAGGTGCAACCACAGAGAAGCCACAGAGCATGATTTAGGGTTTGTCTACACTGCAGTTAGATGCCCATTCCAGATGACTCAAGATCAGGCTCAAGGGCCATTTAATTGTGGTGTAGATGGTTGGGCTTGGTCTGCAACATGAGCTCTGGGACCCCGCTCCTAACACCACAATTAAACAGTCCCTTAGCCCAAGTCAGCTGGCATGGGCCACCTGTGGGTTTTTTACTGCAATGTACACATACCCTAAGATTAGGAATGGAGCCAGTTCCAAAGCTTTGTAATGACGTCTTTGAGCTACGTCCTGCAAGTCCTCTGCCTGTGGAACTTCCTAGCCTGTGGGCTAGCAGGTTCGAGCAAATGATGCCAATCGTATTTTCCATAGCTTTATCAACAAAAAACCAACGTTTTCAGGATACTTACCACATCTGTGTTTGTGATCTTGGCCAGGAGTTCTGTTAGACTGTCACCAGAGAGTGAACTTTCCCCATCATCAAACTGAAGGCCACAGATGGCTGCTCCCACGCTTCCAGTTGCTATCATTGATGGTGGATACATGGCGAAGTTAAAATCTGCAGAAACGGACCCAACAATTATTCCAAGCACAGACCAGCAAAGCTATAAGAGACAGAGCCTTCTAGCCAGAAATACTGAAGTCCTTTCTTCTCTGACTGAGCCAGAGATGCTAGATGCAGATAGATGAGGCTTAAAGGTGACCTGCAAAAGAAAAATAAATTGTGTTTGTGCTCTTTTTTCCTTCCTTATGATTAGTCTTGGCAGAATCAACTCTTTAAAAATACTTTCAACCATATTTTAAACACTTCTATTTTTATCTAGTTAAATTTTCAATTATGCATAATTTTGGATTTTATTCATTTTTCCTCATTTCTATTCATTTACATTTTCAGTTGTGGGAAATTATTTGTGAGTGGGGGTCAGACAATTATTTAATGCCCACGAACATTCAGATTCAAAAAGTTCAAATTTTATAATAACTAAAACACAAATTATCAACAGCACATGTCAAAATATACAAAATTAGTATCCTTAAAGTTCTCAACCAGCATTTTTCTTACTCCACATATTTGTATATTTTCATTATTACCAATGGAAATACGTTTGAGGGTGAAATTGATGTGTGCCAACATTTACCAATAAAAATTTATTTTCCAAATATACGTATGATGGATAAAAAAAGGCCTAAATGGTTCTTCCTCCCCTCTCCTTTTTTTCCAGAAAAGAGAGAGTGGGAGATTTCTGCTTGTTTTTTATATTAAAAATTCAGGCCTCCTCTCATCTAGAATTCTGTGTATAATTGGAGAACTGGCTGGAATATGAAATCAAAAGGAACTGAATTCTGGGCCATTGAGAGGGAAGAGGTTTTTAGCAAAGACAGTTTGTGTCCACTTTTACTAACAAATATTTACTCAAACATGTAGTAACCTATTTGGAGAAAAGCAGCCTTTGCAAAAATTCATCTCGTCTCTTCCCCCCTCCTCCAGATTGCCACCCCTTTGCAATTAAAGGGTGATAGAGCCTTTAGTGCATATTTGAGACCTC